ACGTGATGGCAGTGTATTCGTGACTTTGTTTGGCCAGTGGGTTGGTTTGTGGGTAGGTGTCAAACCATAACACCTGCTCCAGGTTATCCAAGTTGGCTCTCAGTCAGCAGATGTGACCCCTTTGGCCAAATGAAATGGTGGACGGGGGAAATGGGGAAGGGGTGCTGCAATGGTCCCATGAAGGATGAAAAGGTCAAGGCTGGAAAAATGAGAATCTCCATTCTGGAAAAGATCTGGCCTGGCGGATGCTTCCCTTCATTCTTCTCCACTGAATAGTCACCTTCGTTTAAGCCTTGAGAATGATGGTGAGTGCAAGACTATGTGCCAAGACTCCCTCTGTTCGTCAACCATTAGTCTGGGACAATCCCTTGAGTTTCCAAAATTTTGTTCTCCTTGTAGCCTTCCTATTCTTGGCCTCATCTATAACCCTTACAAGAAAAAGTCTATTTGTCTCAATATCGGAAGAGAGCCATTGTGGCACAGTCACGCATTTCTTCTCCAGATGGAGTAACCCCAGTTTTCCATATAACACTGGTTTCTAATTTTCCATCGAGCTTTCCTTCTCCCAAACAGTAGCCGTGTGCTACATTGTTGTTAGTTGAGTCAGTGTGTCTCATGATGACCCTGCGTGTGCCAAATAGGGTTTTCAATGTCTGCGACAATTCAGAAGTTGGTCAGCAGGTCTGTCTTCCAAAGTGCCTTTGCGGCTGTTCAAACAACCAAACTTTTGGCTAGTAGTTGAACACTTGACCATTTGCATCTCTCAGGATTCCAACAGAGTACGTTACTAAGCTCTTACTAAGCCATTGAGTTTATGCAGATTCAACCCCAAGCCAATTGCCATTGAGTCAATACCAACCTGTATAACCCATACCCTGTACGACAGAATAGAACTTCTCCTTAGGATTTCTAAGACTATCTGTCTTTTCAGATGCATTTCTTAGCTTTCTCCAGTGGAGTGACTGGTGGGTTTGTACTTTGTTAGGTCGAATTGACTAGGGAAACCAATCCAGTGACACTCACGTATGTGTAAGAAAGAGCTTTATATCAAGAAGTAATTGTATATCAAGAAAACACCCCAGCCCAGCTCAACTCAAGTCCATAAACCCAATAGTAGTCCGTAAGTCCCTTTTCAGACTCAAGCAGCCACATGCAGAAAGCAGGCAGATCACAGGCATAGTCATGTGTGCAAAGTCATGTGGCTCTGAGGTTGGTGGAAAATATCGCAGGGCTCCAGCAGCCCTCTGTGGTCGGCCTGCAGGAAGATGAGGCACAGAGAGAGGCCGCCCTGCAGAGAGCTATGAATCCTAGTCACACCTCCAAGTGAGGTCATCAGACTGCCACCTGACTGACAGGCAAAACCCCACCCCTACGCTTCTGTCAATCCTCAAGTTGACAGGAAATTTTCCAACCACCACAGCCACAATCATGGTGACTCTTTATTGCCCTCGACTGAAGAGGAATCTTCAGGTTTGGTGACTGGTGAAGAGGAGGGGAAAGTGTCACCTCCTTGATGCTCAGAGACATTTCTTCAACCGTGTTTCCTATTCTAAGGTGTTTCATGGGGTGGGGAGGGGGAGAAAAGTTTTGTGCCTAAATAATTTTGGAAAATATTTCAGCCTTATTGGCTTTCCCCTGAAGATTTGCTATTCATATTAGAATGCTAATGATACTGGGAAATTTTTCAGCAAAGAAACATGTCTAACTTTGCTTCACTCATTATTTCCAAAGCCATTAGGCCACAAAATCACCTTCCGGTCTTGTTCTCCATAAGACACATCTTAATGTCCCAACGATACTTTGTAATTTTATAAATAAATGTTTGATATTGCCCCTGCAGCCTATAGTTTTGTGTTCTTTGGTCATATGATGTTATAAATTCACATTAAGCTTCACTAGCTATTGAAGGCTTTCGGGGTTTTTTTTTTGGACGTTACAATTATCATTTATTATGTATTATATTATTTATGGCATCAAGCGTGTACAGTATGAGCCATCAGTAGCAGTAATGACAGAGCATGCGCTGTGACGCAAAAACCGCGATAGAGTGAAGCCGCGGAAGTCGAAGCGCGACGTGGCGAGGGTTCACTGTATATGGGACTCTATACTTTCTGCTACATTTTCTGTAAACCAAAAATTGTACTTAATTAA